TGGGGTGGGCTTGGGTGGGAGGGGGTGGGGTGAGCTGGGATGGAGTCGGTTTGGATGGGAGGGGATGGAAGGGGAACCGATCAGATGGGAAGGATGGCATGGATGTGTAGATTGGATTGGTTTATGGAATTCGATGGTTGACAGGGCACAGAAAGGGGGTTGTTAGGGTTAATCAGTGAATCGGGTCCATGGGTGGTTGCATGCATGCAATGTACCATACTTGTGGCGCACCTATGCAGTGCCCCGTGCGCCATGCGCTCATTGGTGATGCACGCGCACGTGCGCACTGCGCGCGCATGGGTAGCGTGCTGGGGTACGCGCTAATGACCGCCATGTGCGGGCACTGTATGTGTCGTTGTGTGTGTGAGAGTGAAGTGCCGTACGAGTATTGCCGACAGAAGAGGACAAAAGGAAAAACAAGTCATTTTCAGTTTGCTCTGTGATGAGGGCGGGTTCGCCTTTAGGGCGTAGTTGCACTACTTGGTATTTGCCAAGATTTAGAATGCATCTGGAAATGGATCTGGACTCAAAAACTTGTCCAGATGCATTCAAAATGTTGGCGGAGTACTGCAAGTAGGCCCTTCCTACTGCGAGAACCTGTCAGATGCGGGCCTCACTTTGTCAGTCACCAACTGTTGAAAATGAATCATTACTTGGATTTTGGAAAGATAGACTCCCGTCAGTTTTGTCTGTGGGTGGGAATCTGTTGGAACGGCACGTTGGGCCTCGCTGCGCTACTCACCACATGCAGAAAAAGACAAAATACGGCGGTGTATCCTCCCATCTTCTGGCAGAAGATTTCATGATTCATTCTCATTTTGCACATTTGCTGAGTAGTGGAGAGCGCCCCCTAATCCCATGGATTCTGGGCGCAGGCAATGCACAATAGGCCTCTCTCCGCTACTTAGAATGAATATTCCACTAGAACACGGGAAGATGAACCTCCATATTGTTGCCTTCTGTGCATGTGGTGAGTAGTGGAGCGAGGCCCAACATGCCATTTCAACGGATTCCCTGGCACGTGTAGTTGAGCACCCACAGCCCAAACTGATGGTCAAGTTTGAAGTAATGATTCATTTTCCACATTTAGTTTACGGACAAAGCGAGGCCTGATCTGACGGGTTCTGGCAGTAAGTCGAACCCATCCTCACCACCCTCATCATGGCACTACGGGACTTGAAAAGACAGCAATGTAGTAGGTGCATCTTTCCAGGTCGTGGCTCCACATACATTCTTATTTTGCACAATCCGTCTCGATCCCTTTTTTTCTTGAGCACAGACACAGATGTTGAGCGCTGCCCCCCCAAAAAATGTGAGGCCCATCTCTCAATTTTGGCAGGGCGGGGGAGGGGAGGGGGGGGGGGACCCTGATTTTCACCCTTGCGGCACACCGGGTGCACGCCCCACGTGCGCAATGCGCAGTGTACCATGCGTGCACAACTGGTGTGCTTGCCATGCGCCACAAGTATGGTATGTATGTGTGTATGTATGCATGTATGTATGTATGTATGTTTGTATGTATGTGTGTATATGTAATATGTATGTGGGTAGGTGTGTATGTGGGTATGTATGTATATATGTGTGTGTGGTCTCCTTGGGATTTGATTGAACGGGCTGGGCTGGCCAGTGGATGGCTTAAAGAAAACAATGATTTGGAACTATGAGGACATGTGATGATGAGGATATGTGTTAACAAGTTAACATAGCCATTTGGACTGCAGGAGGAAACTATGGAGCCCTTTTTCCTTGTTTTGGGGAAGGCAGGTGAAATTAGTGACGTATCTGTCCTCAACGTGCAGGGGAACATGATGAGTTACAAGAATGGCATGGGCAGATTTAGAAATGCTAGGAAAGAGGAAGGGGGGGGGGGGGGGGGGAGGTCATAAATACGTTGACAGAAACACGTTTATTGAGCTTGCCATGGCGAGACTTGAAACATGAAAGAGAACGAGGTGGAGGAATCACAGTTGTACTCCCAATGAAAAATGCACCATTCATGCAAGGGGCATATGGGAAAGAAGTTGAAACTTCAAAGAACAAATGATAGTGAGGGGAAGAGGGAAGGCTTCAAGACAGAGGGTGACCGACATTTTCTGAGCGGAGGCTCAAGAGCTGGCAGCTGCCTCTGGGACATCCATAAGAAATGCTCTGAAAATTTACGCCTTTGTTTGTCAGCCGGAACCTCCGTGAACTGTCATACCATATCAGACCTGGCTACTTAGCGGCTACGACCAGTTCCAGGTCATTGACCTGAGCATATGGAAAACTGACTAGTTGATTAATTGTGTATCAATCATCTCCTTGTTACAGGTAGAATCATCGTCAAGGAGTTTAAGGGTGTTCCGTTGGACAGGTATGCTGAGGGGCAGTGTGCAGGGAAGTCCATGTTTTGCTGTTCACGCCCTCCACCTTGCCTGTGCTTCTGCCTTTCTTGTCGGAATGTTGTTCATCCCCTGTCTGTACCACAGCTTTCCATAGATGCTTGATAACCACACACTGGGTGGCAGGGGGGGGTGCAGGAAGGGGAAGTGGGGAGTGGGGGGCGCACAGAGGGGGGGGAGGGGTTGGGTAGGGAAAGGATGAGAAAAAGGGGGAGAAAAGGGTAGGAAAGGGGGATGGAAACATAACCATGCTTGCACGATTATGTGACATCATTGCTTTTGGATTCTTGACGTCCTTGCTTTTGGATTCGGGAGGAGTTGGGGGGGTTAGGGGTTGGGTAGGGAAAGGGGAGGGAAAGGGGAGGGAAAGGTGGAGGAAAGTTGGAGGAAAGGGGTAGGAAAGGGGATTGGAAACATAACCACGCTTGCTCGATTATGTGACATCATTGCTTTTGGATTCTGGACAGTGAAACTGCATCCGACTCCACACCCACCAGTCAGGACAGATGGAAGGTGTGCTTTTATGGTTGGCACTTGGCAGGGATATGCTTGTGTTTGCAGTGTGCACGTGCTATACACATTTAGTTTGAGTCTGTGGTGGCAGCCAGCATACATGGTACTTGACCACATGCAGCGCGCCTTCCTTTTGCAAGAACCGCATTCCCCCTTTTAGATAGCTTCGATGTTACCCAGCGAAATACGTGAAGGGTCAAAGTGAAAGAAGTTCAAAGAACCCATAAGGTCAGGTGTGGTAGAAGTGTCGTCCAGGGCAGGGCCGACTGCATGGGTCACTTAAGTCAGTCAGCATGGTCGGAATCAATCCAAAAGAGGCCTTAACATGGTAGGAGGTAGGATATCGGTCTGGGGTCATTTTCACTTTGGATCATCTCTCGCCTACAGTCTTTGCCGGAACACAACACACCCCAATCATGAATGTATGCAAGCTATCTTTCCGGTCCAGTACACTAATTATGAAGGTGCACTGTGTTCGGGGGGAAGAGGGTAGTAGTCCAGTCCTGAGAAAGCAAACAGTCAGTCAATCCCCCACCTGAGAACGGAAGGCAAGAGATTCAAAGTCTTCCTTGGGCAAGTCTGAGCCTCCCAAGGCTCGATCAAGTGTCCAGCACACTTCCCTTCCAGGGCACATCCAGGTCCAGCCTCATGCTGCATCTTCCAGCATTCATCTGGGCCCTCCAACGCATCGCATACCGGCTCTCCGTCTTGTCCGTGCCATTCAATCTGTCAGTTGCTGGTTAATCCACTGAAGCTCGTTGCTTGTCCTTTTTCTTCTCTCACCGAGTCTCACGCAATTTTCCCTTGCATCATCTACCCACCTGGGGACCCTTGCATGCAGAGATTCAGCAAAGCGATTCAATTTCCTTTTTTTTCCCTTTTTTAAGTTTTTTTTCCTTTCTTTTTGTCGGGGCACTGGGCCCAATTATAATGAAATTCCAAGGCATTAAAAAGAAAAGGTAAAAAAGAGATGTTTGTTTCTTAACAAAGAGGTTCAATGAACTTCAATCTTGATTTTCCGCAACTCGGCATAAACACGTACAGAATCAGCCGTTAAATCCAATCCTCTTTGCTGGTGTGATCTCTCCCCCAGAGTGCCTGGCCAGTTCGTGAAGGTCACTTTTTCTTGTGAGGGAGGTCGGGCCTTAATTTGATTGCAATTATGTCCAGAGCTCAGTCCGAAAGGTCCCAGTGTGAGTATGTCCTTAATCACACGTATTCGGAAAGTTGTTTTTTTGCCCCTTTTTTTTTTCGGTTCTGGCCTGTTGATTTAATTGGCTCGACCACTCACCATATGCACATCTTTCCATGTTCTAGCTGAAGATCCATTCTCGTTTTGCAGGTTGGTGAGTGGTGGAATAAGGCCCTATGAGATCGAGCAGCAACATTTTGTCGTTGAGTGTGACTCGGTAATCAGTACAGGATTTGATGTCAAGACTGCCCGTCAACACATCCATCCATGTAGGTGTACCACTCAGGCGCAGTTCAGCCACAGGGGCTGAGCTCTGCACTTCTTTTAACATCTGAGGGCGTACTCACAACTGACCTGTTTACCAACGGTTACATGAGCACCCTGTGTCCACATGGCGTTAGTGTCTGTTTGTATTTGAATAGCTTGGGGCCCTTTTTTCGGATCCAGCTCCAAAATGGAGCTGCGGACAACGGTGAGACGGTCAAACTACCCTGTTGTGGTCAGATCTGAGACAGTCACCAACTATGCTATTGTAGCCAGACCCGGGACAGCTGCCACCGAAGAAGAATCCAGAAAATGGCAGAAAAAGGACGAAAGCGGAAAAAAAAAAAAGGAAAAAAGGAATAAGGTCTGGCTCCACTGCCCAGCACTCCAAATCATACCTGCGGCACCCAGACAGGCACGCAGACCAGCAAGCATGCACACACAGAGACTTAGAAAACTCAGCAGAATGCAGGAATCTCAGCAAGGCATTCATTCCGGCAGCAAAACCCAGAAATCAGCTGTGTTCTCAGTCTGTGTTTTGATGGGTCATTACACTAACCCCCCCCCTAAAGAGCGAGGTCCCTTCGAGAGAGTAACTCACTTAGAGTCCCTGCAAAACGCATCATAGGTGAATATTGCAAAGAGGGATCGGGAGTATGCTGTAGCAGTTAGAGCCGCATTGGCTGTGCGTAATAATCTGTCGCTCGCACTTTGCAGCTATTCCTTCTTTGAAATCCAGTAGAAGTCATCTAGTGGGTGGTACAAAAAGTGAACTTGATACTGTCTGTTATGTCCCTTACCGGTATGACTCACAATCCTGTCAATCTCATGATATGGTCACGATAAGGAAAGGAACCAGGAACACGATACGGAAACAGTCTGGATGCGTGGAAGACCGGATACGTGTGCTGATGAGGAGGCACATCAATCACGTATGAAGGATCAAATTCTTAGCTGTCTCCCACTACTTCCAAGGGCCATAATAGAGAGGAAGTAGTTTACTCGACAGTCCCTCTTCTTCAGAGAACTTGGACATCTTGACCCAGACATTGCTTCCCATTTCGAATGGTGCATGCTTACGCTTCTTATTAGCGTGTTTGATCATGGCCTCCCGATGCTTATTCATTGCTGCAAGAACAGTTTTGAAGCGTTCGTAAATGGCACTGTAGCCAGGCCGTCCAGGTGTCAGACCGGGTGCCTGATCGGGAAACATGAACAATAAAGAGGATTGTGTATCTTCCATCCGTAATGTAGTCGATTCAGTGTCATGCTGGTGGAAGCATCACGATGCGCTACGCCGCCCCCGTGTGGCGCAAGCCACACAGCGCAGGGTGCGCGCGCACCGCATGCACTGCACTGGGGAAAATACACCCCCYCCCCCCCCCCCCCCAAAAAAAAGAAAGCCCTGGCCAACAATTCTCGTTCCCCCCTCCCTCGGGAAAATAGTCCAACCGCCTCGCACAATGTTTTCCGGCTCCCGCCCAGGCCCGGTAAAAACTCTGGGCGGCCTTCTGTTGGGGTTGTGAGCCAACTTTGAATTCAAAGTTGGCTGTCGAAGTTGGCTCGCCAGCCCCGTTCCACAAGCCGCCGACCTCACACAACGTTACCCGCGTGCCGCCGTGCCTTCGCCATCGCCTTGAAGGGAGAGGGATTGTGTTGAGGAAGAGTGAGAGGAGGGTGTGGAGGAGAGTGGAGGAGGAGTGGAGGAGGAGTGGAGGAGGAGTGGAGGGAGAGTGGAGGGAGACTGTGAGCTGTGCAGGGGCACGGCATGGAGGAGACGAGAGCAAGGATAGGGCAGCATGGAGAGTGCGGCAGCTAGGAGACGGCAGCGAAGAGCTGGCATCAAGGAAGGTAGCTGCGGGGCTCGTCAACCAGGTGGGAGGACACTAGGCTTCCTCGCCTTACGTGGCACAGACTCCACTTTCTCCCCCGTCTTTCTCCATCGCCTCCACCTCCCGCCATAATCTTTCTCTCCCTCCTCCCTCCTCCCTCCTCCCTCCTCCCTCCGCCATTATCGACCGTCATTTTTCATCTCCTCCCTCCTCCCTCCGCCAGTTCCACCTCCTCCCTCCGCTCTCCACCATGTGTACGTGGCACAGACTCCACTTTCTCCCCCGTCTTCCTCCATCCCCTCCACCTCTCACCATCATCTTTCTCCCCATTCTTCCTCCTCCTTCCTCCTCCCTCAGCCATTATTCATAGCCTCCCTCCTCCCTGCACTACTTTCCACCGCCATCTTTCATATCCTCCCTCTCTACGCCATTATCTTAGTTGGCCCAGCAGTTGGCCCAGCATGTCACTCTGTCACTCTTATCCGCATGATGCAAGATGGCGGTGTCAAAAGATGGTGGGGAAAGTGGCGGAGGGAGGAGGGAGGAGTTGAAAACTGGTGGAGGGAGGAGGGAGCAGATGAAATATCGCAATGGAAAATGACGGAGGGAGGAGGGAGGATCTTCCACTGTATTCCACGTCACAGTTTAATTAAACCTCAAACCACATATCGCCATGTCTGCCCTGCGAGGAAAAAATAAAAAATAAAAAAAATTGCTGTGCACACACGCTACCCCTGCACACCCCTGCGCACCCCTGCCCGCACCCCTGCGCACACACCGCACAGCTCACAGAGCACCATAGACCAGCGCACAGCAGATAGGGCCCTGCACCGCCTGGCGCACAGCACCTGTGCGCCGCAGGTATGCTCCAATAGCGAGGGTCTCATACATTCGATATATTCGGAGCAGGTATAGGTTTCCCGAGTGTCTATCGGCTGAAGAGACCACTGTTAAATGCTGTGCCTGCAACGGTCTGCACGGGCCATTTCCAGGCCCGTGACGTTTTCAGGCCAAAAGCCTGAAAACAAAGGCCTACAGGCCCTGTGTCGTTTCAGCCTGAAAGCCTGAAAACAAGGGCCTACAGGCCCTGTGTCGTTTCAGGCTAAATCAGGGCCTTTCTGGCCCTGAGTGTTTTCAGCCTGAAACTGAGGGCCATTTCCGGGCCCTCATC